TGAATCAATGACTCATGACCTTGACACTCCCGCGCCGCTTAATGAAGAGAAGAGTCTCACTACCTTCAAAAAATTCTTTGGTTATGATGATAAACCTCCTTCTGAGTTTTACATGTTGCTTCAAGTCGCTCCGAAGGATACAATTGTAAAGAAGCGCTTGGGAGTGCTTAAGAAAATCATAAATGTAAAGAAGGATGCTGATGCGTGGCTCGATGTGGACGATAGCGAACTCCTTACAAATGACAATTGGAAGAAGTGGGCTCTTCTTGCTGCCAAGAAGAACAAGAAGATGGAGCCGGCTGGAGCTGTCGTGAAAGCGATGAATTAAAGATGACCAACGAGCGCTTTGTTAGGATCTTGGCGAAAGGACTCGATAATCCAGATTCGAAACGAATCGCCCAGTTTCTAATGAACGCACAAATTCAGCAATGGCTTGAATTAAAGTGGATGCCAGATAAAGTCTCCATCGAACTCGGCATTGGACAGAACCTTCACAACTTGTTCGACTACGATCTGTATCCTATTTGGCTTCGCTTCGCACAGGTTTACGAAGAGCTAATGTCGACAAAACAGACGACGGAACTAGAATGGCTAAAAGAACTGTTCCAGACGGAGAATGATCTGCTGGAGGTTCTCACTTCACCGAGCAATGTCCGTAATACGAAGGGCGAAGCATTGCTGACCCAATTCATGAACGAGCAAAAGGATCCGGTGAGGGCTTTTGACATGTTCATGCACTCTCGAAGTGGGTTAAGAGCGTTCTTTACTCAAAACAATAAGAAACTTTCGAAGGACCTTCAACAAAAAATGATGAGACTGACCGACCCAAGTAGTAGGATGACTCAGAATTCCCTGGCTGAGTGGCGCGAATTCAAACAGAATATTGATCTTCCAGAATCGAAAAATGTTTTGTCAATGCTTGAGACGCATGATATAATTCGGCAAAGCTGGATTTTTTACATAAAGTCAATGATACCGGAGATGCCGACGAAATCTCCTGTGACCGAAACGATTGAGGTTTTGGCCTCAACGGACATGAGATCTCTTAAAGAATTCGTGAATATTTGGCGTGAACACTCAGTCGATCCGAGCGACGTTTATACGATAGTGCTGGAATTCCAGAATGCCAAGGCATCTCAGGTCGTTTGGAAATTGTTTATAAATGATTATATGAAGACAAAGAAGCTTAATATTCCTCCGATGATCAAGACGTTTAAGAGCCTGAGTGCCCAACACAGCAGCAAGTCAGACAACTATGGAGAAATGCGCAAGATTGTGAACGAATGGGTAAATAGTGAATTTCCTCCGAAGCAAGCGTTTGAAGCGTTGCTACTTGATGTCGACGCGAGTAGGTTGCTGAACCATTGGTTTGTATGCATGGACCACTCTTTCAGAAACCTTATTTCGAAACCAGGTTTCGAAAGCACAGCGAGCATGTTACGTATATCTTCTAAGAATCCCAGTGCGCATAGAGCATACCTCAAAATGCTGAGCATGTTTATCCTATTTCGCGATCTTGGCGATCTCCAAAGCCGCAACATCGTTAATTTGGAAGAGACCATGTGGATACTAAACCCCATGCCCTTCGATGAGATCATTTGGCTATTACAACTCGATACGACTACGAACGAATTGATAGCAAAAGCCGAAAAAATGCTGATCGCTAGAAATGAGGTCGATACGAAGACAAAAGCGGAAGAAGGGGCTAGGAAGTATCGCCATTCTAGCTCGCTCGGTGTTGGTTCAGCGCAGCACGGCCAGACTCTAAAATCTGATCTGTCTGGGCGTGACGAGGAAATCGTAACAGTACTTGACAAAGCTTTGTCACATTTGCTGAACAATCCATTGCTTCCTTTTTATTTCGACCTTGAAAGGAAGTTAAATCGCAAAGGGACGTTGTTCGGGACGCTTCTTCATGTTCTTAAAGAAAAAAAGTTGACGGACGTGGTGGAAGCAGCGGAAGAATCCATAGCTATAAAAATTATTTGTCTTCAGTTGTTAGAGCAGGATGAACGTGACGTTCCGGTGAAGCCGAATCTTGAAGCCAAGACTGCAATTCCTACGAAAACGGGCTTTCCCCCTTCTCGAAAATACCACACTGGCTCTCCAAAATAAGGACAAATGTATGTAGATCTTGACAATGATCCATTCGCTCAAATTGTCCATACGTTTGGCTTTAACTTAGCTCTTTCAACTGTAGTCTGCCTGGACCGCGATACCGTGTAAATTCGCTTTCGTATCGTAACTACGGTTTCCACAGCAGAAAAAAACGCAGTGTTAGGCAAAAACTTTAGTTGAAATCTGTTTCAGTCTAGTACTAGCAATAGGCCTAAAGCTAAGCCCAACTCTCTATATTCCCTACCGACTACATGGAAGGAAATCACCAAGATAATTTCACGAGCAATGATACAGGTATACGTTCAAGTGACGATTCAAATGAGTTTTAAAATTTTTTAAATGCCAAGTTCGTAGGACTTTAAAGGCCGCACGAACATCATGGGGACAGTTCCAGCTTCATCAACCTTATACTCTTTTGGCGATGATAAAGAGTCACTGATCATTGCTTTTGAACGTAAACAATGAGTATATATGTTTTTCCTGACATCTCCATCCGCCATTCGTGCAGAAGCTAGCATTCAAGGATGTTTCATTTGCATATGGAGAACTCCTGCAGGTACAATGAATCAACTGCAAATGGAGAAATGAACTTAGACAACAGGGTTGCCGTGCGCCTTGCACAGCAACCCTCATCCATTTTGTTCTTTTCACACATGTGAAAGCATCCGTGCCGTTGAACTGTTCCATTGGCAAGAGCGAATGCAATTTGACGTAGTATTAAGTTCCTGAAGACCAAATCAACTATATGCCGCAAATTTTAATCCAACGGTATACGCATGGTGAGTCTCTTATCGCCACTAGTGATATTTTGCATCAACGAAAAAATTTGTTAGTTGTTAAGGAAAGCGGTCCCAGATCTCACAATGATAACTGTGCAAAAAGCCTTACGATAATTTCTCAAGTTTGATGAGAGCATTAATGACATGTAACGGATAGAGGCATACAACTTTATGAACTGCCTGAATTACTTAATCACGCGTGAGTAATCTTTCAGTGTTGGATGTCACGCGGTAGTGCTGTCTCAGCAGCATCGTTAAAGTGTTGTAAGGTTGTATGAAAAGCATCAGAGCCTAGCGTATCTATTTGCTTCTTATAGGAGGCCAAAACCTTCACCAGCTCTGGCATAAAAGACATCAGCTTGCAGCTCATGTTTAAAGTCCAGTTGGATATTATGTAGGAAACTGCCACACATGTCAGTAGAGATACATTCGGCAGACTGCGATATACAAATCACTATTCTCTGCCGTATCCTAAGGCTACGAAACAATTCGCCTGTCGACCAATGCTTTTGGCATCCAGCAGAAATCTGTTAGAAATTTTGGGCAGTTCAATGCCCTGACCCAAAGTTGTGAAGCTTTCGTGGCTTCACAACTTTCCTGCGTTCTGGTAGAGCAAATTTCAATACTCACCAAATCTCAACTGAAATTATATGACAAGGCACTTAATCCTTCTGACTTCTTGTCGGCCCAGTGCTCATTGCAATCAAGATACGTGATACATAAATTAAATTTATATTGTAGTGGACGAGACAACTCTCTACGAGCCAAAGACCTCAACTTTTGCTTTAGAGAACTCAAGATTCCTGATATCCGTGGCACAAGACACACGGATATTGTATCGATATTCGGCCTCTTGATTTCCTCTACGAACTATCGATTGCTTTCGACAGTCACGCGTCGTACGTAAATAAACAACGATTCCTAAATTATCTGGGATCTCCGTGGGGATGTTGGTGTCAATAACAAACAACTCGGAACGATGAGCTTCATGCTTCTATAAACCGCTTCGTAATGAAAGCGAATCCGAGTACTATTGACTTAGACCTTCACAAGATGTATTAGGGTCCACATTCTTACCAGTTTGCCACTCTGCGCTAGTTGCAACTTGACGCTTCCCCGGGAGAATCCTGTCGGACGAGCTTGCATGTAGTTTTATCCCTTTACAAATCTTGGCTATGAGAGAGGTGCCGTGCATGGTACAGATGTTGGCACAATTATAGACGTAGCATCAACAACAAGCGCGTAGCTGCTGGGCAGTATCTCACTTCCTCGCCAATATCGCTGAAGCTCATTGCTCCTATGGCTTTCATCTCGTGGCATAGAGTTGTACTCCGCATTTTAAGCGGCACTAGATTTTTCATTAAAATAAATAGGGTGAAAGCGAGTCCTCTTGAATTCGGTCTGCCGTCGTTATGGCAGTAACTGTTCTTGGTCATGGACATTCTTGCACTCTTTGATGGTGGACAAGAGCTTAATGCGCGCCCAAAACGCTTGGTTAAGCGGTGTGAGCACCCGCGACAAATGTCGCTCCAGATTTAACAAATAAAAGGATGCCTCTATCTGCCGACTCGATCGCGCGGCATTCTAGCTGGGAGTCTGCAAGCACAATGCGCTGCTGCTTTGCCTGAGAATGACCAAAATCATGGTCATCGCAGCTTCTTCCATTCAGAAGGAAGAGAGAAACCATCGGTCCTTCCTTTAAAGTCAGATGCCAAATATTGACATCTGCACGGTAGGTGCCAAATCCAACGACGTTTAGCTGAGGCCACAGACATTCCATCACTGCTTCCAGCCTTTGGGCTGCTAAGCGTGCAATCGACTCTGCCAACTAAAGACACTAGCTTATAGAGCGTGTCTGGCTGCCCCGTAGCCATTCCCTGCTGGCAACATAGCGCAGAACATACGAGATAACTTGTTTGTCAGCTCCATTCATGGCGCATACATATCTGAAGCGTGTTATTTCCATGAAGCAGCATCAATCCGGGAATGGAAAAACAAAGTCTAACCGCCCGTTGCTCCTGTCAATTGTCAAATGTGTTCTGCTCGAGCTAACATGAGAGCCCCAAGTTTTGGAAAAATAATGATGCAGTCAAACAATAGATTGATTGTATGTATTTTGCCACTATCTTGGAGTCAATAGTCCTTGCTTCGGCAACCGACCAGCACGTGAACTTCGATTTCGGTCGGTCTGAAATTTGTCCCAAGATGCTAGTCATCGTTAATAAGCAACGTGGAAGCCATTTGCTCAAACCTTGCATCCATCGAGCGTATAAGCTGCCTCGCTCACCCCATCAAGCCATTTACCACCGTCTGCTTTGCTCCAGCAGTTCCATTTTCCGAGTCTTCATCTTGTTCCCCTTAGTCATTTCGTATAGTTGCAGATTCTCTGCATCGCCCTTCTTCAGATCATTCTCCTTCCCCTGCTTAATCAATTATCAAAACTAGAAACTTGTCGATCGCCAAACGTGCCTTTATTGACCAAAGTAAGCGCCGCATTTGAAACCTGCTATTTGTTCCAGCTTCATCAAACTGACGTTGCACTTGAGGCGAAACAGCGCTCTGATGATATAAATCGCATGAGCACAACATAGCAAACGTGTGGTCTTGTAACAATTGCTATTGTATTCTTCAATTAAATACTATGATGTGAAGTTGTCCGTTTGATATCAGCATAATCTAAGAACTAACGCTTCTATTTAAAGAGTTGAATTGCAATCTTAAAAAAATGATCAGAAGCGTAATATCATGGCATTGAAAAGCTATCACCGAGAAACTCTTAATGGTATGAAATCAGAGCAACGCTTATTGGTTTCAGCACTGACACCAGTCGACTCACAATATATTAGGAAATTGGTACGAAGAGCGGGCGAAACCATTGAATGGTGTTCTGCCTTTCGATGCAGTGGTGCGTACAATTACGTCAATGCCTTTACCTTTCCTAGAATGATAATATGAATGTTAGAATGATTTTCAAACGAGTACAGCCACCGACTTTAATGGATCACAACCGATATCTTTCGTAAGCATTTTTTACTCTTGGAAATTGAAGCTAGATTCGATCATTGTTTTTTTACTGTGGTCAACTCAGCGTCATAAGCCTCGCATGATCAACGAAAGCAACATCAATGAAGCAATTCGTTTGGCCGCATCATCTAATCCGAGTCGAACCTTTGGTTCTCTGTATCCAGTTCCAAACGAAGATTTAGAGCGCAACTTAATCTCGACTCAGCATCGCGTACATACCAACCACTTTACGTCACCGATTTTACCTGGAAATGCTGTAGAGCGAGGCAATGCTACACCTCGTGCTATCAGCGAGGTGTTTCGTACAAGCTCTGAGCCACAGAAGGATACGCGGGCTCAGCGATCGTGGATGTATTCGATTGATCCGATGATTACTGCGATAAATAGGCGAGAGTTGACCGAGTCAAGGGCGATTAAAAAGCGGGAACCACTTGACAATCATATAAAAAACTATGGACGTCAAACTACTGCCATCACGAGCATTCGGAGCCGTCATACGGGAGTTTTTGTGGACGATGAACCAGGGTGTCAACAGTAAAGACCACATTTGCTAGTTTAAGGATATTTTCACGGTGAGACGCATTCGATAACAGCTCCATAATATCAAAAACTATAAATTTGTCTTCCTTGTGGTTTCACGACTGCTGGATAGATAAATTGTACACGAAAGTCTTGTCCGCCATCCCTAGCAAATCATTACATTTTCAACTTGGCCATCACTCCGGCACACCTCTGCCGTTTGTATACCACTTCCAATTGAATTTCTCTTTGTCTATCACATCGCCATTCATCTTGGCGTTTAAGTATGCCGCGTTGAGCAACATTCGCAATCCAACATTGTAATCATATTTATCGTCGTACTTCAATTCATCCGTGAGGCGCTCGAAAGTTTCAATCGTCTATTTTTCGTCATACGGGGCAAATCCGTACCACATAACAACTTCACCAGGAAGCAATGTTCTGGATACTGTCAACAAGATGAGAAATATGGATGCAATTGCTTGGCTAGGATAAAATGCATCTTTATCCCTTTAAAGTACGCCGGCCAGAAGTAGCTCTGTATACAGACACAAACGCCTTGAAGACTCGGGAATACCGAAATCATGGAGATGGATTACTAGTAGCTTCAACAAATGATGCATACGAACCATTTTGTAGAGAAGGGCAAAAACAGAAGTGATTATATGAGGTCCTTAGTTCGCTGCTTTATGCTACCTCTAAGCCTACTGATCGTAACCTGACTTAACTAGACCAATAAACTACTACCCTTATGTCTGTAATGAACATGCATAATTCTTACTATAACTGCGACCGTCACCGTGATTCTTGAAATGTCGTTCACACGCACTTAGCCCCACTCACCGTTAATTCTGAGTGCGCTTTGTCGCCGACTTATTCTTGATAATTGTTGCCTCACGCGTTCGTGGTTGCAAAACCTTAGCGAGGGTCTGCAGGGGTGGCCTATGGAAGGCCAGCTCATTTGCTTGACATCACCAATCTGGTTTTTATCGCTTGGAACGACATGACCGCCGACCGCAGACATTTTAGAGAACCGCTTCAAAAGGCGGACATCATCCCAGCTCTGCGAGATGATGAGGTCATCAACGTTGAAAGTGATGAGGTTGTCGATGAGATTATGAATCTCTTGCAAAAGTGCATTTTGTTCGAAAGCGACAAGCGCTCTTCAATTTGAAATGAGATTGAGCAAATTCTACACGAAGATGATGACGGATTTGAGCTGTTGAACGACAATCTAATGGAAGAAATTGACTAGGCAATAGAGAATGTGCTCAAAATCAAACCCGAATATGTGTCAGGTGATTCTGATGACGTGCTGATTAAAGCGAGCGAGCACATTCCAGCCGATCAGCGAAATCTTCGAAAAAATGTCATCAACCTTGAAGTGGAGATGAATAAGCTTCAGAATTCACCTTTCATGCTGGCTGATCAAACAATCAGGCAAATGCACTGTCCACTATCCGACGTGTAAAGGTGTACTTCCGCAATCACCACGCAAACCATTGAGAATAGCCGTCAAATGACTTCTCATAATTAAATATATTTTGAAAAATATTGATCCCAGAATTTTTTTGTCCGTGGGATACGCAATTAAGCTGGAGGGTTACTGTACATGATAATATCTTACATTCAAATGATACTCACTAGAAACATGCAAAAAATGTCGGTGAAGAAGCTATAACGAGTTTTAGTTTCTAACTAGATCAAAAACTTTATTGAACGGCTGGGGGTTATCTCCAGGTGTGAACTGTGGCTTCATCACAAATTCATTCGAAGCAGAATGTCGTGTGCTTCATCAAAAAGAAAACATTGCCGCAATGCTATTTTTTCTTAGACTTAAAGCTACCTCAGACGGATAGACTGATCATTTCTGTTTAACAATTATGGACGAAAGTGGATGATAGAAGCAGTAGAATACCCTTGCATATCTTCGCGAATAATTGTCCGTTACGAAAGAAGGCACTAACCGGTGCTATGCTGCTTGACCTATTGATAGAAATCTACAACTTTCGTGTCTAAGCTGTCAAGGTGAAAGGTCCGAGTCGACATGACGTCGACCACCAATCTGCCAGAACTTTCCTTGTCTCCAGAGACTTTGACGCCATCGCGTTTTTCAATAGCGCTACGAATTCCTTCTCCGACTCAGCCCAAGCTTTTGCCTACGCCTAAGGTTACTGAAATTGTAGCTCAGGACGGAAGTGTGGACATTCAATTGTTTATAATCTCCCTTTGGAAGTATCGAACGAATGTATCGTTTTCAGCAGAACTTTGTCAACGTCTGTGCTCAGTGCCAATCACCAAACTATTGCTGGATCAAGTGGAATTCTATTTACCGCAATTGGCTCACATGGTAATGCATCTTGATTGCGAAGTACCTACGGATGATATTGAGCAGTTTATGCTGCTACTTGCACAAAGTAGTGTACACCTGGCATTACAACTATTCTGGGTGATCTATGCAACGCTTGATGAGAATCGCCCAAAGACAGTGAGTAGCAATCCTCGAACATTTTCACGTTGTGCGCGATTATTGTTAGCACTCGAGCAGTGCTTTGTGTACGGGTCTCCAGCATCTCGCCAGGCGTCAGAACTTCTTAACCGACAAAGTATCTCGAGAGACGAGATGGAGCAGATTCTTATGGCTGATCGGCGCTTTTTTGCCGCTCAACAGAGAAGTACAGACTTAAATAGCGCTGGTAACACCGTAGAAAACGTTGCTCCAATCTCGGGTGGTTGGCTTTTCAAGAAAGGAGGTGGGACAAGTAGAATGGGTCGACGCAATTGGACAATGCGCTGGTGTCGTTTAGAGCAGCGTATATTACTGGTCTTTAAAAAGCCAACGCACACACGTCCTCGTGCAGCTATTCCACTTCATGGTGCTCAGTTGCATATTGTGGAGAATAAGCGTCCATTTTACTTTGAAATCAACCTTCGTTTTAGCGAAACTAAAGCAAAGTTTTCGGCAGCAACAGCTGATGAATTGGCGACGTGGGTGGCGTACCTTCGAAAAGCATCCGTTTTACCAGATCCTCCTGCTGGAAGCCCGAAGAAAGGGAGGTGCACCTTAGAACGCACGTTAGCGCGCATGTCGTTTGCAATGCGAACTTTTATTGTGCAATCCTCGAGTCCAACTCCACAATATATCGTTGATACTTTTGCATTTTCATCGCAAAGTGGCTCGCCGTCAAAAGCAAACATTGTCAGTCGCTCAGCAGATGCTATCGCAGATATAGAGACTGCTCATGTTGAGCAAAGGCGAAGTCGGATGTTAAGTAGTGGATGTGCGAGCGCATATTCGAGTCAAGCGGGGGATACGGACGTCAGTCAATACTCAACGACAGACTTAAGTTGTGATACGGATGCGTTAATGCAAGCTCTCATGACGCCAGACCAGCAGCGACGTTATGAATTTTTCTGTACCATGATCAACTTTGTGAAGTCAATCACTGATATATCTGAGTCACTACGGCATGTCGAGCCTTTGAAACGCAAGGAGCAATTAGGACCACTTCTTAAACAATTGCAAATACCTAGTCGAGCATATATCCCACTCTGCAAATCAACGGATGTAAGTCACGACGTATTTTGAAAGTTTGATGCTTCTCAGGGCTGACCAAGTTCGACCATATTTTTTGTTAGCCTTACTGCAACGTTATGACGGTCTTTTGCGACGAAGGACACGTCTTCAGCACCCATGTGCGTCTAAACGATGTTCTTTTGTTTTTATTGCCTTGATACATTCATGCTTAATCCTATCTAGGAACGGGCACCGTGCTTAATATACGTCGGCGCTGAGGAAGATGAAAACAGTGAAGACGTGTCTACCGCCTTATTCAGAAATCTCTATGATACCCGAGCAGATGACATTCACGTAGATGAGACCTTTTTCGATAAGGACGCTTTCGATATAAGTACGAGACAAAAACGAAGACTTTACTCATCCATCAAGTCTTGTCAAATGTCGCCTTTTCTTCGTAAACTCTTATCAGTGAGGAAGAGGATTTGCTGTTGAAACTTGTCGATTTTTTAAAGTGATCTGCTTACTTTTTGACAGAATGATCACCGCAAAGCTCTCATCGAACATACATTTGGTGAACTTACGTTTTCCAAGGCTGAGCGTCTCTTTAGCAGTGTTCAAAGCTCAAATCCAAAGCGATGGCGTTTGACTAGTTTACTGTCCAAGAGTCACGATGATCTTCGTCAAGAACTTTTAGTTATGCAATTTATCTCGTACTTTCAGCAAATTTTTGAAGAAGAGAAGCTTCCATTACGACTGCACCCTTACCGCATATTAGCTACAGGATCAAGCACTGGGCTTATTGAAGTTGTGTGTAATGCGATGTCGCTTGATGGGATCAAGAAAAGAAAAGGGTTTACAAATCTTCGAAGCCATTTTGAACAAATGTACGGACACGTATTCAATGATTCTCAAGACAGTCATGAGGAGACGGATTTGCTTCAACAAGCGAAAATGAACTTTATGCACAGTTTAGGTGCGTCTTTTCATTGAAATTGAACTGCTTGAAACTTACTTCCAGATGGTTGATGTCCAATAGCCGCCTACTCCATCGTCTGTTACATCCTTGCAATCAAAGATCGACATAATGGCAACATCATGCTTGACATTGAGGGTTTTTTAATCCACATTGACTTTGGCTTTTGTAAGTTGGACTGCAGTGACAAAGATAATGTAACTTCTATAGTAATTAACGCTTGTGTTTGGTTTAGTTTTAGGCCGAGCACCGGGAGGAAGTTTTAGTTTTGAAACAGCACCGTTTAAGCTGACAGCCGAAATGGTGGACGTACTAGACGGTCGCGATTCAACGAATTTCAAGTATTTTACAGATCTGTGCGTTCAAGGAGCGCTGGCAGCTCAAAAGCACGGTGAAACCATTTATGCATTAGTCGAAATAATGAGTCATCATTCCAAGCTTCCGTGCTTCGTAGGAGGGACAGCAGGCCCTCTATCGGGACTTAAAGAACGATTGTTTTTGAATATGCCCCCGGAAAAGGTTCCATCAACCATTCAGAATATGGTGCAGCGCTCTTACGATCACTTTGGCACGACTAAGTATGACCAATTCCAAACTTTTTCGAATGGAATTTCGAAGTAGTTTTATCTGGCGAGGAGAATAAAAGATTTTTTTGGATGTAAAACTCACAGTTTTGTGCAGGTCTTCGTATTTATTATCTCATGTCCCCTTACTTCCAAAATTCGGGACTCTGGGTGCTGATATTGTCAAGCACAGTACCACAAAGTACATTCATAGAAACAGTGATGTCGTTGGAGGGAGATCGGCAACTCCGACAGCCTCATTCGTCGTTCTGTCTGGATCGAGTACCTTCCCGCTATTATTGTTTGCCTCAGCTGCTTGGCTCCAAGTTGAATCAAAGTGAACTCGAAGTCACATTCTTTTTAGCCTAGTTACCGTCCACATTGCCAATATGAACATGAAAAGATACACCTAATTGGCGCTCACTTGCCTGAACCTGCAAATCTGCCTGACTAAGTACATACTCAATTTCTTTTGCCACTGTGTCAGCAGTAGCGCGAATTCGAACGTCATCTTGCTCAACAGCAAGTTTTAGCCAGTAGAGTGCCTGCGAGTAGTCGATAGTACATCCCTGGCCATGTATGTGCATTTGTCCTAATGCGTACATAGCTTGCGCACTTCCTAGATCCACTGCCTTTAGAAATTGTTCACGCGCACGTTTAAAGCTTTGATCAACGCCACGACCCTGAAGGAAAAGTAATCCGAGGAAATATGAAGCATCTGGTACATGCTCGCCAGCTTGTCGATATAATTCGGCTGCGTACTGAAAGTCTTGTGGAACACCACGACCGTATTCGTACATCATACCAAGATGAAACTTAGCATGCTTATTATCCATTTTAGCAGCATCCTGAAGTAACTTTACTGCACGAACCACGTCTTCACTCACACCCCGACCTTCATTATACAGTCTACATACAAACGTGATAAGTCTACAGTATAAAACACGCAAATATACAGATACCAACGTGGCTAGCATCCATGTTGCTTCAGAGTGACCTCGTGCAGTACATTTTGTGAGC